CAATGCAGCTTATTACTCAGACCTCCTGGCAACAGACGTGAAGGAAAAGATCCGATCCAAGTGGAAGAGAGGTGGAAAGCAGGTAGCCTTCCTTCAAGGCAATGCATGCTCCCATACGGCCAAAACAACAATGGAAACCCTCTGGAAATTGAAATGGAACCTTCTGACACATCTGCCGTACAGTTCCGATTTGGCACCAAGTGATTTCTACCTGTTCGGAAGGCTCAAATCAGACTTGCAAGGCATGCGGTTTGTGGACAACGATGCCATCATCCAGAATGTTAGGGAGTGGATACACCGCCAACCACAAAACTTTTTTGAAAAGGGCATCGGGATGCATCCAGAACGTTGGAAAAAATGTGTTGACTCTGGAGGGGAGTACGTTGAAGACTGACATGTGCAAGTAAGTGTTTGGCAATTTGGGTTTAAAAAAGTAAAATCAGTCCCGGTCATATTTGAACCACCTTGTGTGTGTGTGTGTGTGTGTGTGTGTGTATATACGAAGGGCGTTCCATAAATAATGCCTCCTATTTTTTTGTGTTAATATGTAACATCTGAGATGGATGTTGGTGGTGTTGTAGTAAAGGTTGAACCTTCCCGCCAATGTACTGTTAGTTTGGTTGTCGTGCAACAGATAGCAACAGCAGAGCAGTCTACCAAAATGGTGTCTGACATAGAAGTGCGTATGAAAGAGAAATGTGTTATTGAATTTCTCACTGCCGAACAAATTGTACCCATTGACATTCATCGACACTTGCTAAAGGTGTGCGGATACAATACAGTGGATGTCAGCACAGTGAGGCGGTGGGTGGTGCGTTTCAACAGTGGCGAAAGTGAAGTGCACGACATGCCACGCCCTGGGCGTCCCTGCTCAGCTGCCACTCCTCACAATGAACAGCGTCTCATCCGTACAGATCAGCAGATAACTTCCAGGACTGTCAATTCTGAACCCTACAAGATGACACTGACTAAGCTGAAAGCCCGCATTTCCTGAGTAAGGCCAGAGAAGCAGACAACCTTTCGCTTGCAACACGATAACGCTAGACCCCATACCAGTTTGTCGACCACCGCGCACATTGCAAAGTTTGACTGGACTGTCCTACCACATCCACCTTATAGCCCTGATTTAGCACCTTCAGACTTCCATCTCTTTGGGCCTAAGAAAGATGGACTACATGGGCAACATTTTCCAGACAACGATGTTGTCATTGCAGCTGTAAGAAAGTGGCTAGCCTCTGCTGGTGCAGACTTTTACACACGCAGCATACAGGCTCTTGTTCATCACTGGCAAAATTGCATAACGTATGGTGGTGATTATGTTGAAAAATAACTGCAAGTAGCTGAAATCTTGCTCAATTTAACTGCGTTATTATGATTTCTGTATCTCTTGTAGTTTTCTTTAAAAAAAAATAGGAGGAATTATTTACGGAACGCTCCTCGTATATATATGTAATAGTTTATTATAACTATCACACTATGTTTCACACAGACTGCACAGTATGATCAGTCATTGGCCAGTGGAAAAGATGGCTTCATTCCATAATTCAAGAAAATATTGTTCCTATTCATTGTTGACTGCAGCAAAGAATATGATTGAATTATGTACCAAATTTCTGTTTTTAACATTCAGAACGGAAAATATTTATCCATGTAACGAATTAACAGAAATGATAAAATATTTTTGTATGTAAATTAGCGTAGTTGATTGAGGCTGGAAGGTCGCAGGATCAAATCCCAATGAGGTGGATATTTTTCAATTGACTTAATCCTTCCAGCCGCACTATGGCCCTGAGGTCGACCCAGCCTCTAACAGAAATGAGTACCAGGAATAATCATGGGGGTAAAGGGTGGCCGGCGCGTAAGGCTGACAACCCCATCGCCATCTGTGAGCTGATTGTCTAGAAAATGTGGGAGCCTCAACATCTCACAACCCTATGGGCCTCCATGGCCTGTTAAAGGGATACCTTTACTTACTTACTTTTATGTAAATTAGGTATGCTCTGCACAACTGTTTCATTCAAATCTCTACAGCTGTTAATTTCTACCATTTTTAAAAAACTTACTTTCTGTGCCAAGAGTAAGCTACTTTCATAGTAAGTTAAAAGTAAAGGTATCCCTGTAACAGGCCATGGAGGCCCATAGGCTTCTGAGATGTTGAGGTTCCCACACTTTCTAGATCATCGGCTCATAGATGGCTGCAGGGTTGTCAGCCTTATGTGCCGACCGCCCTTTACCCCCAAGAATATTCCTGGTGCTCATTTCTGTTAGAGTCTGGGGCTGGAAGGATAGGTCAATTGAAAAAGAATCCAATGAACTCATAGGACTTGAACCAGCAACCTTCCGGCTTGTAGCATAGTGTCTCAACCAACTATGCTACCACATTAATAAAAGTCTATGTTGATTTGTTTGTTACAAAAGGAAAACATCTTGAAAGTGTAGAATGAGTGAAAAAAGAGAAACTTGTGTACAAGAATGAGACCACACTGGAGAAGTGACATGTTTCAGAGCTCAGCAAGTTCTTGGTCCACAAGAGGGAGGCAGACACTAGGAAACTGAAGGCTGAACATAGGAGATACCTCCACTCAGGACTGGCAGTTAAATCAATGAGTCATGCACCTTTGCCTGGACAGGTGCAAGGAAACAAGCTGTTTGTCACACAGGTCACTCACAGTGGCGGTAGCAAGCTCAAATTTGGACTGCAGCAGCGGAAAATGATACTGGACATTCAGAATGGTAAATATTGCCTCATGGGTACATGACGATCATGTCACCAAACAGTGCAAAATAATGGTTAGCAATGCTGCTGCTATGTGTGTGAGAGGTCCTGTGTTTGAATCTCAACCTTGGAAACTGGCCATTCTGAATGAGGTTGGTTGTATATCTTCAGTTCATCTATACAGAAGCTGAAATAGTGGCTTGGAATAGTGTCATTTCCTTCCACACTCATCCTACTATTCTAACCTGGTAGTCGACCATGCAGAATGAAGTAAACCAACAATTGTTATCATTTCAAACCATCATCTTTCCAACATATTCTGTATGATATAACCAAGTATGAAAATGCAAGGTTACAATGAGAGAACATTTTCTTTGTTGGTTCAAATAAAAGTCTTTTTTTGCAGGTTTGAAAAAAAGTGATCAAAAGAATGATACTTGTGGCATAATTATTTGTGCAGCATTTGAATAATTAGTCATCAGATTTCCAAGACGTATGATGATTTCTAGCTAGTGGGAAGAATTTGAAATCTTTTATACCTCTGCATCACATTTCCCTTGAAACTCTATCAGTGACACTACTATCTGCCTGATCATGCTCCATTAACATGAGCTGACAAAAATGTCCCTACCCCTGTCTCAGTCCAGTAAACTTTGTGCCTGAACTTGCAGCAGACTGTTGCTGTGACAGCACAGCTGAGCCCTCCCTCCCCCAAGCAGCAGCTACCATGGCCTCAGACTCTGGAAGTAAAACACAGTTTTTAGGGTTTTAAGACAGACTAGCATTCAATTTATGCAAGCAAGCATTTATGGTAGAATTCCAGCCATTGCCACTAAAAGAAGTAGATCACATGTTATTATCATGACATCCAGTCACTTGAAGGCAAGAGTAAGAGTCAACTTCAAAATGCTGTTTATATCAGATATGTCTGAGGCACAACATGATATTCATGCAGTGAATCATACATTATCACAGACCTTAAGATAATCACTCCATGTACATAATTCTCCATTATAATTGAGCCCTATAGCTAGAAGGTTGATAAAGGTACCTGCAGATGTAGCATGAAACATATTTTTGTGCACTAAGAACTATGGACATGGTGTCAGCATGAATCTATGGGGTTGTGTGTTGTGACTTTAAGATGTTACAAATTCATGCTGTTTCACATTGTGGATGGAGACAACAAACATTCTGTGTAGTTTGAATTTACACTTTATATTTTTATAACTTTAATTTTATATCTTGTTTGTAAACATGAAGAGAAGTGAGTGAGTGTCAGGGGTTGTTTCTATATCTTCTTCCAGTATCGAAGGAAGCGGAACTTTCTGGAGTAGTAACAAAGAATGCTGTGCTTCCTTCTGCATCAGCACAAGTCCGTCAATATCTGAAGGGGCTTTGGAAGAAAAAGCCTCTTGAAAAAACTGTGGAGAAACATCGAGAAAATTATGGTGAAGGTTGGACAAAGCCCCTGAGCATTGCACATAATAATAGTGTGACAGACTGTGCAGAATCGAAGGTGGAAAACCCAGCAGCAGCAGCCAGATCATGGAGTGACGAAGACATTGCTAAGAAGAAGAAGGCAGACCATGACCTGAAATTAAGAATGTAAGTACATTGTGGTTATTGTCAGATTTGTGGTGCTGTTGTACTCAGAGCATGGAAGTACCTTGGTGCTTCATGCAAATGAAGCTGGTGGGATTACTGTTAGTAAATGCCTGGGAGAATTGGTTTTCTTTCACTAAATCAAGGTTTGCGCTAAATGGGGGCTATGTAACAGTATATTAAGAAACTTTTAATCCTTTTATAAGACTTACTATGTAAAATTATGGCAATATAATTTCTTTACGTAATGAGTTAAACTGTTTCTACACAATTCAGTAGAATTACATTACAGTATTATCAAATGAATTTCTAAAATAATTAACCTAGATGTGCACGAAGGTACTTCTGGTTAATTTTTTACATTTTGTCATATCCCATTTACTTCACAAAGATGACACATATTAGCATATTTTAACGTTGAAAACGTTATTATATGAGGGTGCAAATGGAATGACGCTGTAAGTAACAGAAAATGTGACAGTTTGTCCATAAGTAACAGAAATTATAACAATTTGGAATTATTGACACCTTCACTACCAAGTAACCGACGTTCTCTTGTAGACTTTGTTACCTTGGAAATGTTCTCAGCAAAGTGTAACAATTTGTGATTATTGATACCTTCACTACTAAGTAACTGATGTTCTACTGTTGACTTTGTTCCTTGGAAATGTGCTCAGCGAAGCACATAGATGGATCTGGACATATTGCATGTGGCATCTGTTAATAAATGCGAGATTCTCAAAAATGCAACCCCTTTTGGGCCATCGCTTACAGTTTAGGAGTCATGACCATTTGTTTGTAACAAATACAGCTAATTAAATTCCACTGTTTAGTTGTTGATACTATAGGCAAGCTGCTAGCATATGAAGTCACACACTTATAAGATGTCTGCTGGTAATAGTTGTGCTGCATATATGAAAGAGTGCAGGAAAAGGAAGCAGTTAGAAGAGGATAATTGTAATAATGTACCAAAATGAACAAAAATAAATGCCAAATGATAGTATGAATTTAGAGGAACACATAAAAACTTATCTGCTGAATTGTAACACTCTATAGACTCCTTGGGCGAGTGATCAGCTTGTCGCAAGGCCTCTACCTGTACACAAACACAGAAAAACGCACACAAACATCCATGCCCTGAGTGGGATTCGAACCCAAAATCTCGGCTTCCGAGCGAGCGAAGACTGTGCATGCCTTAGACCACTCGGCTACCATGACCTGCCTACTTTAACTATAGCACACAAAAAAAAAGGTGTCTACATGCTAGTCTTTGTTCGGTAACAAATCTTACCTGGTTAACACTTCACGGCTGAATATTCAAGTGCCGAACTGCATTCTGAATTGTATTACAAATGAATGAATTGAATTCATGAATGAACTCTCTTTTATAATGTACTTCTTTTGGCTTATTTTGGACTTCCCCCATCGTCTGGTAAAAAAAAAAAAAAAAAAAAACACGACGTTTCGGAGACTGGATCTGTCTCCGTCTNTTTATCCTTCCCTATCCACCTGAAGACGGAGACAGATCCAGTCTCCGAAACGTCGTGGTTTTTTTGTCTTTTATATACCAGACAATGGGTGAAGTCCAAAATATGCCAAAAGAAGTACAGTATACACCATCGTCAGAATTATTTCAAGTCTGTCTCTTTTATAAGTTCAGGAGGACCGAATAGAAGCTATTGGTCTCCTATATCCATTGTAGTGGAAAAGCCTGGTTATCCCAAGATTCCTCATACCCACAGAAAACTTTGCTGAATCTTTGTTGACATGAGAACGGGGTTTAGTGAGCTGTTGCCTAGCAAATGGACTTCTGCTTGTCTGTTGTTATTCCAGCTTTCAGACGGTGTTTGCCGAAACGTTGCCTAGCGAACGATGATTAGAGCATTTGATACAGTCTCCCCTTTACAAATGCTACAACATTATCCAACATTTTAAAATGTGGTTTACATGCCTGAAGATACTTATGTGCTAACTGAAATCAACCAACATTTTCAACATTAATCCTGTGAACCAAGGTTCCCCAATCATTTTTTTTCAACAAAGACTAATTAGAAATAGGGCATTCTATATACAGATTGAAAGAAAAGTCATACACAACAGGCTGTCCACAGTGTGATTCCTTGTTAAAAAACAAGGCAAATATATATAGTAAAACATAGGTCATATGAAGTTTAGTTTTCAAGATACACATCAGCATCAAATGGCGCACGTTATCAGATGATCAAACCATGGGTGCTGTGTTATTACAATAGGTGTTTCATCTGTTTCAAGGCAGATGGCAGGATCTCGAACACAGGTAGCATATGGGCCTATGACAATATGTACAATAATTCCAGGCAAACTGTGATGCTGAAGCAGGCTTGATTTCCACATTTGTGGATAGCATGAGAATTATTGCATGTCCAGAGGTGACCATTATGGACATTGTGTACATGTACAACATGCTTAAAAAGATGTGTGCTCCTTGAGTAGTGTTACAGATGCAGTTGATCATCATCAAGTACATTGCGGAAGCTGATTGGGATAATCCAAGTTCTCGTGCGATATTGTGTCATTTCTCTGTGGCTCTTGTTCCACAGCTGCAGTTATGGCATCTTCAGTATCTGTTGCTGTGCAGTCTGTGAGGAACCTGCATTCACATGTGCTGTAGATGTTATCCTGTGTCACAGAGCTGCTGCTCCAGTCTTCAAAAGGTGTCTAGATGACAAAGATAACATAGTGCGTATTGCCATGGAGCAGTAGCAGCTCGACTACTTCAAGTACTGAGGGTTAAGAGCATGCCATAGCAGTCATCGTTGGTATTATAGTACATTATCATTAAATTGCAGCTGATGCCTGCTGTGCACTTTATGTCTTAGAGTACACCTAACAACACACTGTGTATTGTCATGACAGCACTGCTGAGAAGTATGTGACCCCATTTGATGGCGATGTGTCTCAGGACATGTGTTGTATAATATTTTTACTTGTTTTTTTGGCAATGAATCACACTTTGGAGAACTTGTTTGTGAATTTCATTTCATCCTGTATAGGATCCAGGAAAATGTACGAGCCTAAGTTACTGCTTTGTACAGACTGGCATATGAAGAACATGGAAGTTTTGTAGGGTTATCACCTGTGTTTGAAAATAGGTTTGTTCTAATATTTTTGAGCCTTTTTTCTTCACAATCAGAACTACAGTTTGTGTTTGAAACATGATAATTTTATTCCATTGCAACATGGCTGACAGCATTTATAGAGTTGCGCAAATTATAATCCTGCAAGAGCTTTGTATAATACGGCCGTAATGTAACAGGCCGTGAGGGCCCATACAGTTGTGAGAGGTTGAGGCTCCCACTACATCTAGACAGTTGTCTCACAGATGACGGTAAAGTTGTCAGCCCCAAGTGTTGGCTGCCCTTATCCCCCAGGAAGATCCCTGGTACTCATTTCTGTTATAGGCTGAGTAGCTGACTCAGATGGGCTACTGAAAAGTGGTTGAACTTATACAGATTTATGACTTGTCAAGCTCATAATTATTTTCAAAATGAATTTTTGACACAAATTAAGACCTGTCTCGACTAATTGCACTGGGGATGAGATCATAATGAACATCACTTGCCTCTTGCCAACACGTTCTTTGATGTGAAAGGGATACATACCCAGTTAGCAGTAAACTTCCAAGAAAGCACTTCATTTGTTGTATTTCCATACCAATTTATCTAACTGAAATATTTGTTTGATTCAGCCATGTTTAATCCAAGTCTGTCAGATGATACAAAAATAGTCTTCTCTCAGATTCTCTTCAGCGGTGTGTTCAGGGGTAATAATCCACAGTCAGATAATGGGTGCAGTCTCTTGACCTGGATATGGTATGTAGTTCTTTCTTTGAAGGTCTTGAAACTGTGTTTACATTTCATTCATAGCACTTGCATAGGTCTGCCTGTGACTGCAGTTGGTTGCCAGGAGATGATTTGTGTTTAAATTAAATTGTCTTCTTTCCCTAAATCTTCAGCGACTCCATACACATTCATAGGAGGTTGAAGATTTATAGCAATTGATCCACGTTTTTGCTCATCACCATTTCTCTTCTTCAAGGATATCATGATACTTAACACCCATGATGTCAAAAAAAAAAGTCAACATGACTTTCACATACGACCTATCCTGCCTCGCCTTTTCCATCTTGGCAAAATCACATGACATTGAGGGCCATCGGCGACTCGTCATGTGTTGACTGCTGACCATCCTTAAATTGCTTATACCGTTCATAACAACATATACAGCTCATGCACTGATCACCATAAACATTTGTCATCATTTCATGAGTCTCCATAAACGTTTTCCTAGTTTGAAGCAAAATTTAGTGTTAATATGCTGCTCATATCAGCCATCATGAATATCGCAAGACATACTCTACACACATGTGAACAAATAGTTCTAGGGGGATGACTAATCACAGCAGGATGTCATGGCAAAAAGGATGACAATTAGGAAGCACGCCACTAGGCAGCACAACTTACCTGGCTTTGCTAAGACATTGAGTTGACGCTATTTCAAAAGTTGTGAAACTTTTTGAACAGACACAACTTGCAACTGCAAGCAACTATAACAGCCTCACGGGTTTACACACACACTATAAAGGTCACTGTAACTGCAAAACATAGTCTTCTATGTCTTCACTAGCTGTTTCCTGGTAACAGAGCCTAACAACATCCTCTGCTAATGTCCTTACCAGCTGGCAAATATCCCACAGCTGACTCACTGCTGGCAGCCATCTCACACCAACCTTCTACTCATCTCTTCACTAACTGCAGCTCCCAACTTGTCTCGTTTATAACATCCCAGCTCAGAGTGCATAGGAAATACCACTCCTCATTATTGTAGTTAAGTCATTTCCATGGGAACATGTTTGTTTGTGAAGCTGTTACTCAGCAATGGCTCTTGTGTATTTGCATATCTTGCTGTTGTTGCCCAGCAATGGGTGTACATGCTACAGTCCTCTCTAAATGTGGGAACACTAAATCAGTATTTCCACTTATCATATTTACTGTCTTGGCTTAAGTGTCCAAACTATAAAAGAGAAATGTTTATATTCCATGATGAAACCACATGTAATGATCAGCTGCTATATTAAATAAGTAATTTTGGACTTTACTGAAGAGAAATGAATGTGATTATTTTTGTGACATAACATATACTATATCTAATGTGTGTTTTACTCCTGATGAACTGCTTCAGCAGTGACTGAGTGACATAGTGTATTTCTAACAGGACAGTGACCAGTGGCATTATAACAGTGAAAGTTCTGACCACATCAAGTCATCATATTTTCAGCATAATAACATAGTCCCTGCATCCTTGAGTCATCACCAACTGAAATGCACCATGAGAGTTGAGTCATTTGCTTTGCCAGAACTAATGATGTACTACATAACAAGTGTAAGTGAGAATGATGATGTACCCACATCATCGAAGATAAGTTTGGTACCCAATTATACACCTGTTCCTTGTCAGTACCTCACCTTACCTTGATATTTCACATATTGGATCCCAACATGCAAAGAAAGAGCTTGTTGATGATTGCCATTTGTGGGCTGTAGTTGAGTGATGTGCTGCAGGTGGCAAATTAATTAGTTTACAGATGTATTGATATTAATTCTGATGGATGAATTTGTTTCACTTACTGCTTCGTGTTCAAGGAATCAGCCAGCAATGGTCACTTCTTGTACTTTGCATACTTTATGCTTACTGCAGTTTCTTCCCATTTTCTTGTTCACAGGAATGGCTGGATCAAGAATGCGGATGGAATGTGGGTGCAGGACCCAGATGTGGAGTTTGACAGTGATGAACATGAAGCGACCATATCGCCTGACTGATGATAACCATGTTCTCAAAAGAACTTTGCCTCAGAAATAATGTGTCTGGTATTTTCAATGAGCTCTTTTTAAGAATAACATTTTTCATAAGGAAGTTTCAAAACTTTCCAATTAAGAACTGTTGACACAGCTGTCATCTTGATTTTATTTCAGCATATATGACTTTTAGTGGGTGTGATGCTAATGTATCGAGTGACAATGAATTGAAGAACAGTGACAGCCATTTTCTGTAACTGCACTCTGATGTGAGTATGTAACATTGAAGAAATGATAGCAAGAGAAAAGGAATTATTCCAGAAGTAGGGAGAAGGGAAAAGAATATGGAGGAAATAATAGGAGTACATTATTCTTTGTATATATATCTCAGATATTTTTGGTGTTTTATTTTCTTCTAACAGCACCATTGAAGTTCCCTTAACCCTAGGTAGCCCTTTATGTTGAGCCAGTTGCATTGATTTCCAAGAATATAAGCTACTTACCACTCAAGAACCTTGATAGTATTCAAATCAATTAGTTTGAGTGTAAAGAAAATTATGTTTAACACCCATATGTATATACTGACAAGTATGCCATATGAGGTTGCCAGGTAATAGTTGGTGCCTGATGGTGGGAAATGTATAATGTCACATGTCAGCAGTGACTTAGATGCAGGTTTGGATTGGTGAATAGGTTTATTGACCACTTACAGGTCATAACTACAAATAATTACTACACTATTGCTGATTTCTACACTGCAGATCACTCAACACTGAGTCTTCTCAGTTTATTTCCACTAGTCTTTACTTAGTAACAGCTCTCCACAGTAGCTATTTCTCTGCCATGTCTTCACCACACATCTGGTAATGAATCTTAGCAATGGAGATTATTCTGCTTCCATTGCCCACTGGTTAACGCTCCACCGATGAACCCTCAACTGACTCCTGTAGCATCAGTTTTCTTCAAGATAACTCCTTGAGATTGACCTCGTAGAAAAAACAGCCTCTATTGTTATAGAGGCATATTTACCTCATCATTGCAAACAGTCATGGTGCAGACCACAAAGAAAACGCCATTCTGCACTGGGTGAATGTTGGAGACATTACCTAGCTACAGCCAATGTTTACAGAGTCACTGCTTAGCAGTGGGTCTATATGTCACAGTAAGGTAGATGGAACAAGTACCACCACCAGTTCAAATAACTTTTCTTAGCTGCAGAACAGTTTGCCACAAATGTCCAAATATTGAGATTTCAAAAGCTACAACTAGAGAGATATGTGGACATGCAGTTTTTTTTAATTTGAACTTCACTGTATGGTTTTCAGTATTGAGTATCTATTCAGTTTTAATGTGTAAAACGTTAGATGGTGAACTACGAGTATACTACGTACAGTGCACTCCCAACAGTGTAAGGATGAGCTTGATGACCAAGTATTATAGGGGACTTTCCTAGACAGCCTGACTGTTAAAATTACGCAGAAAATTTCCAGAAAATCATCCGTTTATGTGTTTCCCTTTTTAGTCATACCAAAGATTCTATGTACAAGAAGACTTTGCAAACCCTGCCTTTGCATATTTTCCCTTCTACAAGATCATTGGAAGAATCCAGTTGCACTCTTTTACTTGAATTGCTGCAGACAACACTGTTGCAACAAATGTGCTTGCTCAAAAAGTCCAAACCCTGCTCTCTTCAAAGAGGAGAACCCACTTCAAAAAACAAATTGTCTAGGAATAAAAAAAAAAATTGGTCATGGGTTCCAACGTGGCCTGAAACAAGAACACTTTAGTGGCAAGGGCTAGCAGCAATTTACTGATGCTCAAGATGGTGGCTAGTAGTTGGTTGCGGCTTGCAGAAACTCGAGATTTTGAAGAATTAATTACTGAACAGTTTGCTAGCAGTGGCCATCTCCATGGAGCTTCTCTGACTTTTAGATGTCATGTCTTATATATGTTTATCGTAACAGCTGACTTCTGATTCCACACTCTTAGTGGGAATACACCGACAACAGGGTGATCTTATAAGCCTCCTTTTATTTTATTAAAATAAGTAAGGTAAAAATGAAGGCAGATGAAATCTCTGAAAGAATAAAATTAATGAGGACAACAGAACGAACAGAAAGGAGTTTATCAGGGGTTTTGAATTTATGAATATATGGTTTTGTATTCAGGAATGTAATGAGTTGTTTGAAGAAAGACTTTTTTAACTATCAGTGTGATTTGTTTATGCTTACTCCATTCTCCTCCACCATATACTTTCAGTAGTCATAGCATATATTACTTTTAGCAATTTCCGTAGGTGCAGAAGTTACCAGCTTGTGGAACTACCATGGCCATGGTTTGTATACATCTCCACTAGCGCCACTCTTGGGCATTGTTCACTTCTGCATGAATAGAATAGTATAGAATTTATCTGTATTCGCTGCATCCTTCACAGAACCAAGCCAAGACAGGACATATTGTAATACAAAAAATAAGATGTGATTCTAGTACAAATGTAAATCTAAATATGAGGGTTCGAACTTTAATAGTGACAACTATTTATTTACAACTGATACAAAATAGATGCATGTTTCGAAGTTTAACTGCCCTTCAATGTAGTCACCAGCATTGTGTACAATCCGTTGCCAGCGATGTGGACGTCGTAGGATACCTTTAGCAGCGCCTGTTGTGTTGATAGGTCGAATGGAGCCGTCTACTGCCCGAAGTATCTCGGTAACAGTTCTGAAGCGAATGCCACGAAGTGGTTCCTTCATCATAGGAATCAAGTCAAAGTCACAAGGGCTTAAGTCTGGGGAGTATGGTGGATGGTACAGCACTCCCCAGCCCCACTGATCGAACAAATCAGCTACAGCTTGCGCTGCATGCGGCCGAGTATTGTCCTGTAAAATGATGGGTGGGTTCTGCAGAAAGTGTCGCCGCTTCTTTCTCAAAGCTGGTCACAGGTTGTGTTTCAAAACTGAATAGTAATACCGCGCATTGACAGTCTGCTGTCAGGGAACGTTATGCCTTAGGATAACACCACAGTCGTACACGAGAATCACCATAACTTTCACATTGCTGGGGTTCTTACGAACTTTTGATTTTCGTGGTGACCCGTAATGACACCATTCGTTCGATTTGGCCCATGTCTCATCCAGCGTAATGATACGGCGTAAGAAAGCCTCTCCTCGCTCCAAGTTGTTACGAGCAGCATCGTATCATAGGCATTTCTGCATTTCCCTCGAATCACGCTGAACCCATCGTGATGCAGATTTTTTCATGCCCAGGCGTTCCTTCAGAATGTGAAGCACAGTCGTGTGCGCTAATCCTGTCTCTCGGGCCAGCTCACGAATCATATAGCGTTGACCACTCTCCAGTAACGCGGAAAGAGCATACACTTCTTCTCTTCATCACTGACAGTAGGACGACCTGGCCGACGCATGTCTGCCACATTTGGGCGTCCCTCGTTGAAGGCTTTTACCCACCTTGACACTGTTCTGTAAGGGAATGCAGATTCCCCGCAAGCCTGTTGAAGACGTTGATGACACTCGTGGTGTACGGCATCTGGCACATTCAATCTTTATCCAACTCTGCTGTGCCTGTTTCCAAAACATCGTGACAAAACTACATTAGACCGCCAGATAACACGAGGTTCTGTTCTCGTCACTGCGCATTCGCATGATGTGGGGAAGAGAGAGTCCATTTGATCTGAGGTAAGGTAGGTATCAAATTGACTCTCCCTTCCCTCGTCACTGCGCATGCGTGTGATGTGGGGAAGGGAGGTATGTAGCCAACGGTCATACCACGTTGAAAACACCGATTCTCGTCCGATCACCGAAGTTAAGCAAAATTGGACGTGGTCAGAGAAAGGCCGTGCCATAGCACAAGCGGTTAGTCGCTGGCTTCCCACCGCGGCGGTCCGGGTTCGATCCCGTGTCTTATCAAGTGGGATTTGTGTTGGACAAAGTAGCGCTGGGGCAGGTTTTCTCCGAGTACTTCGGTTTCCCTGCCAATCTTCATTCCACCAATTGCTGCACAACCACCCTCACCTATCATCTGGGGCTGGTACAATGGGCCAGAAGTGGCCGCAGTACAAGGGACTTAGTCCCACCCCAATGGCAAAAAAAAAAAAGTAGGTATGTAACTAACGTATGGTATAAGCGACATTTGGTTCCGTTGCATGGCGTCTCTGCAGCAGTGTTACCACCATTAAAGTTCCAACCCTCGTACAGTTAACTCCATGAAACTAGAAGCCTCCAGTTATGCAACTACTCAAGAAATTGCCGACATTTTATGAGACCCAAAGGTTCATTACCATGTTCACAAAGAGTCCTGGCCCTTTATTCTGAGCCAGATCAATTCAGTCCATGCTTGGGTTATTCTCGACCTAAATATGGAGGCGATTGGACAATCTGTAAGCCTGTCCCCTACCTTCACATCCACTGATCATCACGCACGTGCTCAGGACCCTCACGGACGACGTAGGTGGCGTATTCCACGTATTACGTTATTTAATTAATTATATGTATTTTAGAAATAATCTAGGGTAGTTCGATATCAAAGTAATCTACTATTGCGAACGGGAGGTATATTTGGCATTGTAATGTATGAAAATAATACATCTTGCAAATATTAAAATAGTACTTAGAGGTGACAGTCCTCCGACACGGAGTAGAAGTATTAGTAGTGGCGGGAAGAGCTCCAGCATGCCGACAAGTGTGGCGGGGAATGCAGTACAGGCGTTCTCAAAAGGAAATAACGTCCTTACATCATTGTGTTGCATAATGATGGTGTTATATTCTCATTGATGTTCACACATCCGATGTTAAGTTTTAAGTGCCGAATGGCAGATTATTAGGCACTATACACTATTATACACTTTTCACTGTTATATACATGAAGGGTTTATTTACATATTATACGTGTCTATTCTAAAGGGGCAACACTGGCAATGTCCCATTATTTTTTTGTTTTCTTCCAGCGGAACTCCAGTTTCAAAATAATTTTCTTTTATGTGGAGATGCATCCCTAATCCCTAAGAATCTAACGTTTTCTTCAACTTTTCGTGAACTTTTTTAGGGCAGGTCTCCTTTTTTCGACTATGTAGAAATCATTAATTGTTCTTCGTACCACAGACTCGTTAAAGTCGTCCAAAGTGGCTAGTGGAGATTTCCTACGACTTTCTTTATGGGGTGTCGAGAAGGAAGTGGAAGCGCCAGATTTGATATTTTTTGTTTCTCTTGTTATTCTTCTGACACTACTTTCCGATACACCTGTTGCCTTTGCTACTTCCACTCTTATGTTCTTCACTGTAACTGTTGGCCCAGCCTCTTTCATATACTTATTTACATTACTAACAGTTTTTCTTGATTGTGAATGCAACACTTTTCCACTCAATTTACTTCGTGTAGGTGGCATGTTAAAGGAGATAGAAAAATGTACAAATATAAATAAACAAAAAAGAAAATCAACGAATAGAAATAAACAATAAAATAAAATATTGTCACTTGTCACAACTTGACTTCTGGCCCACTACTTCAATGCGACGTCTCGACTATCTTTGGCCGTAGTTGGATCTCAACTGTCTTCGGCGACGGCTATCCCAATACTGACTTCTTGCTGTCTTGTTGCTGTCTTCTGTCAAAGTCACATTGCGACTGACGGTCAGTCAGTCAGTAAGTAAGTCTTTGTGTCAAGCCCCATCTGGGGCTCATGACCAGATATTTATTGGTGTTTGACAGTTACATTCTTGTTTTCGTTGGGCGCCCTCTCTGACGAGAGGATGGGTCTGTATTTTGTATATGCTGCTGGTCCTTGCCAGCGCAGTCTCTTTCCGGTGAGAGTCCTTTGGGATTCGTGACCATATTGTAACGTGTTGGGTTACTGATGACGCCGTTCGGATTGTTAATTGGTTTATTTAACAACCTACAAGTCTTGGCTACAATTAATTATGACACTGTTGCGGGTTTACACAATTTACAACCCTATACAATAATCTGTCAACTCTGTCCTCAGTAGTCTACTCGTATTCACAGTACGGTACGGGAGCTATACCAGTGTCACTGTATTACACACTCGCACAGTGCTCAGCCGGTTTTTTATACCGTTCGCTGTTGCCTGTTGCCCGTGTCAGCGGGGTTGCGTGCCACGTCACAGTAGGAAGCGGTGCCACGTAAGCGTGGTGGGGGGAAGCGCTGACTCACCTGTTACGTCACAGAGGCCAGCGATGCCACATCACCGCGGGGTGGGGGGTGGCGGAACGCCGACCGGCCCGCAACAGCGACAGGTCACAATATTAATACAGTAATTAGAGAATAATACACTCAAATACGACTCCAAGAGTCAAAATTTCTTAACTTGACTGTACAAGGAAGAATGCTCTTGAGACGTCTATTCGCACTGAATGCTGACGAATGACTAATCACAACGATCACAACACCCCTCAACATTCAAGAATGAACCTGCCCATCCACTGCGCAGCTGTTCCTGGACTGTCAAGTACGGTCAAGTACCAGAGCGTACTAGAGCGGTACCAGAGCTATAGTCCTTCTGACTAGTAACAAACAGCTGGTGTGTACAATATGGCGGTTGTTGACGTGATAAGACATTACCAACGAAGCATAGAAAAATGGCCAGAAAACAAAGAAAGGGTGAGTTTGCGAAACTATATTTGCTTATAACTAGGCGATAGATAATGTCGCTGTTAGTAGAAAATGGCGGTTCTAGAGGTTTAATAAAGTAAAACCTAATATTAAAAATCATACCTTGTACCTCTGTTGACCCACTTCAAGAAACTATGAACAACACGGCAACATGGAAAATATCAGATATACTGTAACATGTAGGAGCTGGGATAACGCAGTTGGTATAGCTACTGACTACGGTCTGGACGACCGAGGTGTCGGAGTTGGAGTCGCAATAGGGGCCAAAAATTTTCTGTTCTTCACCTCGTGCAGACAGGGTGTGCGGCCCACCCAGCTTCTTATCCAATGGATAGCGGGGGCTCTAACCCCCGCGGGTAAAGCGGTAGGGGCGTGAAGCTGACCAGTCATCTCCATCAAGTGCCAAGGTCAAGAAAATGTGGATCTGTATATCCACTCTCCCATACGCCTTCATGGTGTAGTGTTTAATTAGTTAGGCACAGGGGATAGCTTTACCGTTTGCTGTAACATGTATGGAAAATAAAGTATCATAACAAAGAATATAAGTGGACAGTAAGGTTAATGTCATGTTGGCAATTTAACAGCTGTTCATAGTTCATATGTTAATCTGTTAGTGTTGTCACTTATTATGTATTTTGAAGTATTGCAACTCTTAATTACTTAGATGGTTTCTATTTACGATCCTTTTAGCATCTTTCAACATCATTGATGATTACAGATTCATTTAAAAATGTTCAAGAACTGGATGAACTGCGGAATGGTATCCTCAGTAATTCTTAAGTACTTGTAATACTAACTACAACAGCTTCTGAATGCCTTCCAGTGTACATGTCTTATCTGTATGAACTTTATGTTAGGACCTTTTGATTTGGTATCATACCTATATCTTATATGGGAAAGGGTGGACCTACGGTATCATGAAATTTGGTATGAATGTCATGGCATTAGAGGTAATCCTACCTTTCTTAGTTGCTGGCTTTCAATAATACTGTTATAGCAACTATTCAGACTCTTGGATTGTCTACATTTTGATTTAAAGTTTTGTAGCAGTTATTTGCAACTCTTATTGTAAGAAGGTTTATAAACAGAACTTGAAAACAAAAATTAAAATTAAGTTGTTATAGAACTTCATTGACACATTTGTTCCTCACCTGATGTAGCCTGTATGACAGGGACATGTTTACCAGAGCCTGGTGTATGGCAGTGAGAGTGCTTCAGGTAATGTAAGGTTAGCAATGTCAGAACCTGAGTTGGTAAGGGATACGGAGAGCAGATTGGTGTGACAGGTACTTACAGAGGGGTACAACACAATTGCAGTATGTTTAGATTGGTTCCCAAGAGCATGCCACATCAGAATACTTCTCATTACCCTTACCTCTTACATCATTAAAATAAGAGACAGCAAACAGAATATCCAAATTGCTGATCTCTCAAGCATTCGTAGTGGTAAACCTTTTCAAAGTAAAGTGCATAACCAGAAAAAAAATCAGGCTGATGTATATTATTTTGCTTAACCAACTGGGCTCCTTAATTTTTAGAATTAGGGGCTTCTGAAATGGTTTTGCTTCCAGTTCTGTTCTGAAGCACTGGAAACTGGCAGTCCCTTACTTTAATCATGTTTAGCTGCATGGAGTGGCTGCCTTGTGCACACATACAACTGAAATGGGTGCCAGGGCATGGGGCCTGGCTGTGTAGTCTGACTGACTGGTGGCCTTTAAAATTAGACTGTTAATAAATAAGGGTACAGAAAAACTGAAGGAACTAGAATAACTAACCAACCAGCATTAATCATTGTGCTCTAAACATCGCTCTAAACATCTGTCTTGTCCACAGAATAACAGAAAGAGCTGTGAAGTTGGACATATGGGTGCTGGACAAACAGTAAACTCCAAGAAAACTGCTGCCCATATGTGAAGGTTTTCCTTCAGTAGCCCTCACTTGAAAGACCTAGGGAACTCTTGGAACTAAATGGGAAGTAGTTTAGTCATTTGACAGGATTACTAGTAGGAAGCTCACTTGAAGGGACACCTATTCAAAGTAGGGCTGATAAATCGTTTCGCCTGTGAAGGTTGCCATGACAAAGCAGAAACAGCCTGTGTGATGGTGAGACTGTGTCTCAATTAGGGTATCATCACCTAGGAACCCACTTCATATAACCGAGTGATTATTATAAGGCCCCGTTAAGTTAGTTACTGTGCTCTGGTTGAAGTGCACATTTGGTAGAGGGCTACAGTTTAGAAAAGGAATGTGCAGTAGACTGAGGACAGTTGCAGTGCAAATGTTGTTTAATGTTCACCACTTTAATCTAATCTAGCATTATTTCATTTGTACAGATGCTACACTGCCTTGGCAAGCTGTTCCATCTGCCCATAACCGTTCAGCACCTTCAAGACACGGGCATTGGGCGTACTGTGAATGCACTCCGCAAGTATGATGGTGACACTGGTGAAGCAGCCAAGGCTTTGGTGTCTAAGTGGAAGGCACTGGTGGCTGCAGAGGATTCAGGAGAGGGTGAAGTGGCACCGTATCCTGAGCAGAACAACATTTCGCCAAAAGAAGAAAGGCATGCTCACAGACACAATGAGCATCATAGATCAAACAGAGAGAACATATCACATCAGCATCATTCAGACAGCAAAAAGCACAAGGAAGAAGAAAAGCTGGTTAAGGTAAAAAGGATGAGGATTCAAGGTCAAAGTAAAAAACGAAGATGTGAGGGAGAGAATAGGAAGGTAACAGAAAAGAGAAGGCGGAAGGATGAGATAGACAGTGAATCTTCAGGATGTGAAAACAGTTTCCAAGCTGTGGAACAGGAGGACAGTGATAGTGGTCATGATTCAGAGGCAAGGAGCTCTAGTCAGGTGAGCCAAAATGTGGGGGACAATAGTAGTGATGATGGTGCACAGTCTCTGTGTGTCCAGAGCCACAGCAGTAAACGTCATGACTCCAACCGGAAGCATGAGAAGCACAAAGTTACAAACACTTCAAGTAAAGAAAAAGGGGATAGCAGTCGGAAGAGAGATGGGATCTCCTCCAGTCGTGAAGGCAGGAACAAGACTGAAAGTAAGGGTGTTGATGAGAGCAAGGAAAGGAAAACTGTGAAGCAGAAAACAGACATTAGAGTAGGCAATAAAGAACACCACCATAATGACAGTAGCAAGAAACACAAATCCAAAACTGGATCACGTGCAAATAACATTCCTAACGTGTGTGAATCACCATCAAAGTTAGTTAATTTAGACAAAACATCTGCCAGGATAAAGAAAGAAAAGCTGTCAGTGAACGACGAGGAAGATGGCAGTATCGACTGTTCAACAGGTAATGCACTTTAGTTGATGACACTTTTGGCCTTCTATGCAACCTGAAGTTTCATAATCACGTTTGTAAGGTACACCGCTGGTCACTGCCCTGAGCGAGATGAATCCAGCTTATGCCCTCACAGCCTGTTTCTTTAAGGTCCTTTTTAATATTATCCCACCATCTGTTTTGATGTCTTCTAAGCAGATGCTTCCCTTTAGGTTTTCTGGCCAAAGTTTTGTTTGCACTTATCCCTTTTGTGCATGCTACATGCCCAGTTTCTCACAATTACTGACTTTCTAGGCATTAGCCATTACCTTTTTTTTGTATTTAAAGCAAATGGTTTGTGATTACACTCTGTCTTGATGCTCAGATAAAAATTCTACTCATTTGGGCCCAGTTGACAGATAGTCCCTAACTCCAGGCACAAGAAGGAATACAAGGCAGAGTATGTAAACCGGACACAATATGAACTGTCTGCGGGAATTAAGATAGGCATTTCAAAATGCCAAATATATATGTGAGCCATTGCACCTATGGCCATGCATTGTGGCTAGAGTCCATAAAATCAGAGTGTGGCCAAAGTAGAAACCAAAACTAAAGAGGCAAATTTTGGAAGTAAATATTATAAAATCAGTGATAGGACATAGTTTGTTGACCTTTAAAAGCAGATGAGACAGAGATATACAGAGTGTCTGGATGAAAGGTATCCAAAATAAAATAAGTATATCTCAGAAAGCATTTATTATACACATTTATGGGTTACACCATTTACAAAAGGAAACTATCAAAGTTTTTTTTTATGAGTATATAATTTTCTCAGTAAGTTTCAATGTGGGCTCCCTTGGTGGCACGACAAATGTCCAGACGATATTCGACTTCATTCTGTGTTTGCTTGAAGCATGTTTGGTGTTACCACTTTCAGGTGTTGAAGGTCATTGATCTTAACCTAGTAGACAATGTTCTTCACATAACCCCACAAGAAAATATCCAGTGGAGTTAAATCTGGCAGAGGCGGCCTCCGTAGTCTAGGGGTAAGGTTCCCACCTCATGACTGAAGCTACACGGGTTCAAACCCGGTGGAGGTCGTGGAATTTTTAAGGGCAGAAAAATTCAGGGAACAAGTCCTCCGGGAGGGACTTTAAGCCGTGGGTCCCATGTCATAGATTTACGGCATGTAAAAGAACCTCATGCCTCAAGGAGGTCTCTGAGCCAAATTACAAGGACGTTTCCCGCCTAACAATAGTCTCTAACGCCTCTGGTAGATGGGGGAAGCATCTAGATACCTCTGAGTCAGTAGAGGCCAAACTCGCTGGCTGAGTCGGGACTGATGGCATGCACCAGAATCGGTAGGGTATAGAGACTGGTAGAATATCACAGGGGGACGTACAATAGACCACTGGTCGTGGTGCATGGGGAAACGCACCCCCTCCAATAATAATAATAATAAATCTGGCAGCCTAGGAGGCTAGGCGATTAGTCCGCCTCTACCGATCCATCTCCCAGCCATCTCTCTGTCCATGTGATTCCTAATATGGTGGCAGAACTGTGGTGGCACCCAAACTTGTTGGAGGATAATTTAAGGTGATAATTGGGGCAGCACATACAGATCTGTCATATCCAAGTACAAACGTCCAGTCACAGGCTTTTCTGAAAAGAAAAATGGTCCTATCAACTTGTTCATTAAGCTGGCCTACGCGTTCACTTTGGGATTGCCCCTCTCCAACTCACATGTGACATGTTGGTTTTGACTGCCCCAAATCCTGCAGTTGTGCCTGTTTACTCCTTTGTCATGGAACATTGCCTACTGTAATAACTCTTACATCAAACTGAACTTCATTTTGAAGCAAACACATTGTTGTGACATTTGCTTATTTAATCATTCTATGTCGAATCAGTTGTCAGAGGTTTCCTGGCTGTTTCCAGTTTGGCTAATATTGTTTTCTTAATTCATTATAGTGTCATTATGTTAATAAGCAGAACAAAAATATATTTTTGTCTATACCTCAAGGGGGTTTGCAATATATCAGAAGCATAAAACATAGTGAAAAGTTTTGGCGTACTTTATATTTTTTTATTTGTCAGTAATGGAAATATGGAGATGATTCAGACACCATTTGTGACATCATTGTTTATTCTTACAAAACCCAGTACATTTGCCAGTACTGAATAATTTAATTCATGGAAACTGAAACTAATTATTTCTGAATTTTTGTGGAATTTAGAAATGTTAGTGGTATCTCCAAGGGGGTAGATCATACAAAGTCAAAACTTTGCTTTACTTCATAGAAGATGGTGTGTTGAAAGAAGTGTCACAGTTCTCTTTGTATCTCCTCAGTTTTATTTTATAGTCTCAACATGCAGATTCTTTCAGAATGAACTTTGGTTCACTATTTTGGAATAGAAATTACCTTTCTAACTCGGTAAAAAATGATGGTGCTACTGCAACACAAACTCCATGGTTTGAGTCTGCAAGCGAACTATACTGACTGAGCGACTGCCATATGTCAGTGGAGTTAGTGCCGACTTTAGCAGATAGAGGGTGTAGAGTGGTCAGTGCAACAAATCCCCATGGCCATTAATTTAGGTTTTCTAGACCAGAGCCCGCTATTTCCTGGAAATAGCTCCTTAGTTATCCTCACGAGGCTGAGCGGACCCCATTCCAGACCCACTACTTCTCAGAAAATCTGGTATTGGCGGGAATCGAACCTGGAACCTCTGAATCTGTAGCTACTGCGACACATGCAACATGATTGTACAAAGTATTAAAGTAGCTCTGGCATATTGCAGGTGTTGTCAAAATTAATGTCATTATGAAATAATATTTAATAGAAATAATGAATTACTAAACATCTTTCACTGGTGACCATAACAAGATCAGGTTGGAGGAAATGGCCTTTTGATTTGCAAGGTAGCTGTAAGTATACTAAATAAGCATCCACAGATTGCAGCTGTGAGTACTTCTGCACTTGTTGCACATGATCCAAGCACCAGAAGATGGACATGAGATTTGGAACGCAGGATGTCAAGAGTTCACTGTAGGTTAGGTGCATTAGAAACAGGAAGAATAAAATTAGCATGGATCTTTATGTAATAGGGTGTGAGGATGTGGTCTAGATTTTTCTATGAAGAAAGCCGTCTTCTGGGATGTGTCGCCATGTAGAAATTGTGTTAACCGATCTTTCGGAGGAAGTATCACCTCCATCTTCAGGGTAGAAGACGAGAAGAAATCCACGAGCGAACCAGCTAGAGCAGGTGCAACAGACTGAGTCTAGTTGAGTAAACACAGGTATATAAGAGAAGGAATGTGGCTACATAGGGAAATAGTAGAGAGGGGGAGGGGAAGGGTCTGGTGGAATGGCCAGCAGGTAGGGGGCCAGAGCTGGTATAGAGTATGTGTTAGGGGGAGAGAAGGGAAGGTTAAATGGAGGGCATTAACCCTGTAGCTTGGGGGCTACGATGGACCTGGGTGGCCTCTTGGGTTTGCCGTATTTCGGAGGTTACTTGAGGGAACAGATAATAGGCTTCCATGACTTGCTGAGACAAAACCCACCTCTCTGTTCATATTGTCAGGATGGAGTTCAGTCTCAATGGCCTCCCTAATGATGTGATCCATATAATGGGTCTTGGTAGTGAAAATGGAGGTATTCTGAAGCTGAATGCAGTATCCCAAATTGATGCTGTGTTCAGCCACAGCTGACTTGTCTGGATGTGCTGCTGATGCTCCTTCAACCTCATGTCCACAGAACAGCCTCTCTGCCCAATATAGACCTCGCCGCACTTGCATGGGATACTGTATGCACCTGGTGTCCTTAGTCCCAGGCTATCTTTGACTGGCCGGAGGAAACTAGATAATTTTTTGGAGGCAGGCCCACTGATTTGATGTTGCACCGGGACAGCATTCTGCTAATATGGTTGAATATAGTCCTGACATAAGGCAGGAAGGCAACTGAGTCCGGTTTATCTTCGGGCCGACGGTTGAGAACTCTGTGGATCTGCCGGTTGTTGTATCTGTTCTACCTGAAACATCCCCCAGGAGTACCAACTCCGCATGTAGGTTGTCTTGATCGCATAGAGCTCTAGCCCTGTGCACCAATGCGGAAAGTACAGCTTGCTTGTTGGAAGGGTGATGATGGGATGCAGCATTAAGTTAGAGGTTTGTATGAGTGGATTTGCAGTACACTCTATGGCCCAGAGAACTGTCGGGTCTCCTGTAAATATCTATATCCAGGAAGGGGAGGTGGCCCTCAATTTCAGCCTCCATTGTGAACTGTATGCACTGGTGGATACTATTTAAGTGGTTCAGGAAGTCCTAAGCTTGTCGGGCCCATGTGGCCAGATGATGAAAGTGTTGTCCAGGTAGCAAAACCAGCAGCGGGGCTTGTGTGGGGCCAAGTCAAGTGCCCTCTCCTTGAAGTCCTCCATATATAAGTTTATATATACAGTATCCCATGCGAGTGCGGCAAGGTCTATATTGGGCAGACAGGCTGTTCTGTGGACGTGAGGTTGAAGGAGCGGCACATCCGTCTTGAACATCCAGATAAGTCAGCTGTGGCTGAACACAGCATCAGTCAAATCTTACATAGATTTATCTAGTCTGTGATAGGTCCCAGCAGTGGACTTCTGAGAACGTAGTAATGAAGTTCTGGGGTTCTTAAAAGGCAAGTAATTGCTTGACTAGCCAAGCAACTGTTATTTTCCCAAGAAAGGCTCTACTCTGTGGGTTAGTTAGCAATGAATGTGAATTATTTATTGAAACTTAGTAACTTACTCGACTGCTCAAGGAAGGCTGTGTACCTTGTTTTGGTTGTTTGCTGGTGTTTTGAAGGGTTGTGATTTGGTAGCTGGTACACAGAGTTTCTTACAGTAACTATGTTTCACAAGAAAGACTCCATACTCATGGATGCTGTGAAGATTTTCTGTATGGGGAGGGAGCAGCCTGAAAATTTGCTTACAAACTGTTGAAGTCATTTATCAGTATTTTTACAGATTGCCTGAGAGTTGTGGGTGTCTGTATAGCAATGTCAGTGACTGCAAATTGTGTTCAGGATCCTCCCATTGGAGTGAACCCTGAGCCAGACGGTTTGAACCAAAAATCTGAGGGGGGAAGTTACGTGGCTTGTGCCCCCCCCCCACACACACACACAAATCAATACCCATCCCATTGAGTTGCATGGTGGGCTGTCTGGTTATTTATTTTGTTTGCATGAGATACCGTTCTTGAGGAGCAAGTGCCAGTAAGAATTTTTATCTTCCTCAGGGGCGAGTTTTGCAGAAGCTCTTGGCATGGTTGACCCAATGGTCAAGAGGAAGCCACATGCTACTGTGTCCTCACCAGGAAAAAGTGCGAATGCTGGAATTGTGCGCAATGCTGCCAAACCTTGTGCTGAGAGTAGCAGTTCCCAAAAGAAAGAGAAGGCTGGTCCCAGCTTGTTCTCTAGTGAGGTGAGTTGCTTCAGTATTCATGACTGATTGATAGTGGTTACTTACTAGCACAGTATGGTTATGACTACAGATGGATTGTTTTCCTCTGCATGCACACCCTGTAGTCCTTCTCTTGCAGAAGTCCATCAAGTGGAAAGAATATTTTATTCTTTTTTATCCAGAACAATAAAAATGTGATCTTGTGAATTATAATGAAATTTGATATACTCATAGAGCCTGGAAGTGTGAACAGTAATATCAGGTTTTATATTTTTTTAATAATTTATGAGTTACCACAGTTGTGAAAAGCGACCAGGACTCATTGTAATTTCATGGGTTTCAGTTCAATTTGCTGTCTGCAAATGTGAAATTGGAACCACTGGAAATGGATGTTGATCTGAACACAACACTCCCAGCCATTAATCCAAACTACAAACCTCTTCCGCATTACAACCTTTTAGACTCTCCACCGCATAGAAAGACAAAACACTTAACAGAAGAAGAAGCACTAAGCCAAGTAATGTCCACGAAGAATCAGAGGTGAGTTAGTAACATAATATGAGTTATCACAGAAAGATGACAGTAGATGTTTCATTTGTATAGTGTACATCAGTGCTGACAGGGGTGCGTGATGAACTGAGGCTCAGTACCTGTGGTGTTTGCATGAGACACTGTAGATTCCCACATTTCACTCGTTTGACTCTCGTGGGTATTAGGCACACAGTTAACTATACTTCATATAATTTGTTTCAGAACCAAGGTGTATTCAGGGGTCAAAAGTGGCAAAAGCTGGGCAAATGTTCCCTCCCTGTATGACATCTGTGTCAGAGTGCTGCAGGAGAACATTGATGGTAAGTCTGAGAAATTCAGTGTCTTGCTGCAAGGTTGTTACTGCCTTTGACTCGCAACATTTCTCCCTCTTCTGCAGGTTGGGTAGCTCAGGTGGGATGGGTCACAGGTTTATTTCAGTAGACAGCAGAGCCTCAGCTTAGTCTCAGAGTGAAGGCAAGAAGTCCTCCAAGATCATGTGGTAGGAAGACAATGACAGGAGCAAGAATGCATTGTCATCATAAGTTGATGATGGTTTGAGTTTAAAACATCTAGCACACAGCACAATCATATAATCTTAGTATATAAACTATGGTTGTTCCAGTGTGATTGAAAACTTCCTACTAACATTTCTTTAATCACGTAATGTTAACAGTCTGGGTATTTATTTGAGGGGTGCTTGGTTCTAATCTTGACAGGGGCACCAGCAATCCTTACTGGGGTGCTTCATTGCTTTCCTCAGTCCCACCAGGCAAATGCCAGAATAGTACCTCAATTAGGTCAGATATAGTCTACATACCAGACTACTTAACAGCATAACTGCACTGGCAGAGTATAAAACCTACAGCCAATGGTACATACATGACAAAAACTGATAACACCAAATCAACATCCTTACGAACTACACAAATAACAAGCATAATACCATGCCGCAATGGTGAAGGCTATGCAAATAAATACAAAATGAGAAGTACTCTTTTAAACAAATGGACAGCAACCACAATGAAAAACATTAAGATGTTAATTAATTTTAATTAAGGTCAACATATATTAATTAGGAAATACCATATTCACATGTGATATGTAATTTTAACATACAGTGCAACAATTTAGCAAGATATGCAACCCTTGATGATGGTCATATATGGCCAAAACATGTAGTGAGGAAGAAGGGTGACAGATACTAAGTTGCATTAAAAACTGAAATATATGTGTGTAAAAGACCTTAGCTTCACTTAAAAGAAAGCTCTGTTGTTGTTAATATGTGCTCTTACCCAAGTGTTTCAATAGTGGACTGAAAATTGATGGATGCTTCTGTAAGAAATTTCTGATGGTATTCTTTACATCTTCATTTGAGTGGAACTATTTTCTGCTCACCACTTTCTGTAACAGCTTGAATATGTGAAATGCATAAGGGAATTAGTCAGGGCTCTGCAGGGAGTGATCCATGGTGTCCCATTGATACCTATTTTTCAAGATACGTGTAGTTTGGTTTCTGACCTCATGTTCTTACTCCTTGCTATTTTTGTGCAACTTTATCGATAAATTACTAACGTAAAATATTTTAGAGTTATTTTACATCAAAATGAAAAGCAGAACAACTTGATAGCAGAGCAGCAGGTTCCTTTAATCCAACATCTTATGCGCCTGATGATGGCCAGTTAGGCCGATACATGTCATGTTGTACGTTGTGCATTCAAGTTCTAAGGTCTCCGATTTTTTTTTCTCACACAATAATCATACAAAAAATTTGAAACTTCTGTCACTTTTCAACGTAATCTCCCTGCAGCTGTACACATTTTTCACAATGTCGACGCCATGATTCCATGGCCGCTGCGAATGCTTCTGTAGGCGTCTGTTTTGACCACTGGAAAATTGCTGATGCAATAGCGGCACGACTGGTGAATGTTTCAGGATTGAAAAATGGTATCCATGTCACATCTATTGTCACAGTTGATGAAAAGAAAGTCCCATTCTTGCCTTCATCACNTGCTCACCACTTTCTGTAACAGCTTGAATATGTGAAATGCATAAGGGAATTAGTCAGGGCTCTGCAGGGAGTGATCCATGGTGTCCCATTGATACCTATTTTTCAAGATACGTGTAGTTTGGTTTCTGACCTCATGTTCTTACTCCTTGCTATTTTTGTGCAACTTTATCGATAAATTACTAACGTAAAATATTTTAGAGTTATTTTACATCAAAATGAAAAGCAGAACAACTTGATAGCAGAGCAGCAGGTTCCTTTAATCCAACATCTTATGCGCCTGATGATGGCCAGTTAGGCCGATACATGTCATGTTGTACGTTGTGCATTCAAGTTCTAAGGTCTCCGATTTTTTTTTCTCACACAATAATCATACAAAAAATTTGAAACTTCTGTCACTTTTCAACGTAATCTCCCTGCAGCTGTACACATTTTTCACAATGTCGACGCCATGATTCCATGGCCGCTGCGAATGCTTCTGTAGGCGTCTGTTTTGACCACTGGAAAATTGCTGATGCAATAGCGGCACGACTGGTGAATGTTTCAGGATTGAAAAATGGTATCCATGTCACATCTATTGTCACAGTTGATGAAAAGAAAGTCCCATTCTTGCCTTCATCACATGTCAACATCGCCTGGCAAATTACCATGCGCGCAGCCTTGTGGTCATCCGCCAGCATTCGTGGCACCCACCTGGAGGACACTTTCTGCATTTGCAGGTCTTCATGCAGGATTTTGTGCACAGATCCCACGGAAATGCCAACTTTGGAGGCGATGTTTTCCACACTCAATCAGCGATCCTCCAAAACAACTTCCTCAACTCGCTCGACCATGTTGTCAGACCGGCTGGTGCGAGGCCGAGATAGTTTTAGTTCGTTGTCACACGACGTTCGGCCTCCTTTGAAGTGTCGCATCCACAAACGCACATTTTTCACATTCATGACACCAACACCACACGTCTCACTCAACTGGCGATGAATCTCAATGGGTGTCGCACAACGCAAGTGGAGAAAACGAATGATTACTCGCTGTTCTTGTAACGAAAACATCGCCATTTTAAGTATCAAAAACACTCCTCACCCTCGCCACCGCCACTAGAGTTCTGTGTGCCGTACAGCGCTGACATCTCTGTCACGCATTCACCAAGAGTGCACACGTATTTTAAACTAAACCTCATGTGTCTGTCTGCTCCCAGTCCTGAGAAAAAGAATTCGAGACCTTAGAACTTGAACGCCCCTCGTATAACAAGAAGAGGAGGAAATGTTGAAGCGTGAATATTAATATATCAACAAAGTTGCACAAAGACAGTGAGGAGTTAGAACACAAAGTTAGAGCACACAGTGCAGCAGGACTCTGCAATATAATATCATGTAATTTGTATGTTTTAGAGACAAGGCATTACTATGCAGCAATGAACCTTTTTTGCTCTAAGGACCAGAGTGCTTGGAGTTCATTGTCTTGCAGTATTTTGCAGTGATCAAACATAACATTAGAGTCAATTTTGCCGACCACACAACATATTTTTATTATTATTATTACACTACATGTTTCGACCTCAAGAGGTCATCCTCAGGTGTACGAACACAGCTGTATAATTACACGCAATCACATTCGTCTTCTCACTTATTCGAGCCTGTATCTTATTCAGGCTCACGCTCACTAATATATCAAGCTCTCTCATAAAACACAATTTATGAGAGAGCTTGATATATTAGTGAGCGTGAGCCTGAATAAGATACAGGCTCGAATAAGTGAGAAGACGAATGTGATTGCGTGTAATTATACAGCTGTGTTCATACACCTGAGGATGACCTCTTGAGGTCGAAACATGTAGTGTAATAATAATAATAAAAATATGTTGTGTGGTCGGTAAAATTGACTCTAATATTGATTAGATACACAACAGGATGCAAGAAACAATTAAACATAACTTTCTCTGTATTATTTTGGACAAGGGGAACACTTTTTCTTGAGGGGTGTAAAGTGAAGATGTCTGACTCACTGTTTTACATTACATGAAGTTACTTGACATGGCACAATAACTTTTTACACCTTCTTTCAGACATATGCTTTGCTCATTTATATGTAGAACTGTAGTGTGGTTATGAACAGAGATGTGATTTGTGTCTTCCTGTCTTGCTTAGAACTGTCTCATTGTAATTTCAATACTGAAATGAACTTAATAAGCTGTAAACTTAGCATAGCATACATTCTTTCAGAGTTCTCAAACAGAGCTTCAACTATAAGACTGTGGACTCCCACCACTGGCTAATCACTGTTGGGAAGGTTGGAAAGTTGTGCAGGTTTTCATTGACCCAGATGTTTGTTTTGTGCAGTGAGCAGTTGTTTGAAATTGATAGAAGTTAGTTTGAATGTAGAGAATGTCTGTGGATGCTGTAAACACCCATCTTCTGATTCTTGGAATCTTTGATGTGTGTTTTTAAGGACATATCTAATTTAGGGAAATATTGCACATTTTAGTGAAACTTACTTATCTGTTATCTAAAATGTTACACTGTAGAGCATTGCAGCTATGAGAGGACTCAAATGATATGGAGTCTTCTTTATTTTTTAGCTCTGGAGTACACAGGTGGGGTGCCATATGACCTCATGAAGCCAGTGCTGCAGCACGCCACTCCAGAACAACTCTTTATGCTGGAACATCACAATCCATATTTGATTGAAGACACAGGAGACTTGTGGCAGTTTCACTGTCAGCGTGAGTTCCGCACAAAGCAGCGGCAGGACATGGAAACAGCAAGAGAAATGTACATGGTGAGTTTGATAGTCATGATATTGCAGTTAGGCCTGGCAGCACAAGTATATTGCTATATTATTTCTAGACTTTCTCTATCATCTTGTATTCTGAACATAAGATATTTCAGAAAACTGATCTCCTTCTAACCTCATGGGAAAATGTATAAAGGCATCTGCTGAGCTGGCTGGATTAGGAAGAGGTAATTGCAGTAACTGGACAGGTGAAGTTCATAATCTGAATCTATATAGGTGTATAGGAACAGATATCACCAGTTGTAGAGAATAAGGTAATTTGCAGTTACAACTAATTATGTATGCATGAAAACCTGAAGGTAAGAGAAAGAAGTTGAAAATGAACCCATCAAAAACTGGGAAAGTTGTCTTAATCAGTAACTCTTTTTGCTTTATTGAATCTGCTGGTGCACCAACTCTCCAGAATGATGTTTTTTTATGGTTTTGCTTGTCCTTCAAAGCAAAACCTTGGATAATTCCTTGTCTTATTTCATGACTGCTTCCTTTCACTTCTCTTTCTGTTCATTAATTACCTATCATCCTACCATGTGGTGCTATATGATCTGCACTACTGACAGTGTCATTAAGTAGGCAATAAACAAATACATCTTTGAAACCAGATCAAGAATCAAACCCATCCAGTGGGTTGAGAATTGCAGTAATGCTTTAGACTCTATGTCTCGGAGGTACTTGTTTCATATTTTGCCCCTTATATTTTCTGTGTCTGGCCTCACCTTGTACTAGTGCCTAACTTCTCCCAGTGGTAGTTACTATAGGATTCTGGCGATAGTGTATAACACACTGATATATTGGGTTTTTGGACTTTATCCATCGTCCTGGTTTTTAAGATAACTAATAAACGTCGTGTTTTTATTAGTTATCTTAAAAAACCAGGACGATGGATAAAGTCCAAAAACCCAATATATCATTGTTCTCCCAGTGGTCCTCGCTGTATAGCCATGGGATAGACCACTTAGAAGACACTGCTTCCAACAGTTCCTCTATTGTTGCGTGTGTATCTGTTGCTGTCTACATGTCTTTATTGAGCCATTTCTATCTCTTGTGGCTCCACTGTTAACCTTTCATGTGTCATGTCACAGTTTGAAACAGAAGCATAAGATATCCAAGATGAGTATGCATTCAGAATCTTAGAGAAATTTTATTATTCCAAAGTTTGATTTATATATAGTACAGGATCACAGCCATGACTGAGGATTCCATGATGAACACTAGAAATACGAGGGTTGTACTGAAAGTCATGAGCAACAATTTTTTTGTAAAGTAACATGCTCTATTATTGACAAACCAAATACACCACCTCAATCTACAGACCTTTCTTTATTTTTCCACGTAATCGCCACTTCTGTGTACACATTTCTCCCAGTGTTCTGGGAGTTTGAAAATTCCCCTTCTGTTAAATTCTCTTCCAGCCATCCGAAGACACTGACGCACTGCGCACTGCTTTCTGAATTGCCT